TGTGGACTGTGATGAGTGGACTATGATGAGCAGAGCAGATTATAATGAGCGGTGTGGACTGTGATGAGTGGACTATGATGAGCAGAGCGGATTATGATGAGCGTTGTGGACTGTGATGAGTGGACTATGATGAGCAGATCAGATTATGATGAGCGATGTGGACTGTGATGAGTGGACTATGATTAGCAGAGCAGATTATGATGAGCGGTGTGGACTGTGATGAGTGGACTATGATGAGCAGAGCGGATTATGATGAGCGTTGTGGACTGTGATGAGTGGACTATGATGAGCAGAGCGGATTATAATGAGCGGTGCGGATTATGATGAGCAGAGCGGATTATGATGAGCGGTGTGGACTGTGATGAGCAGAGCGGATTATGATGAGCGGTGCGGATTATGATGAGTGGACTATGATGAGCAGAGCGGATTATGATGAACGGTGCGGATTATGATGAGCAGAGCGGATTATGATGAGCGGTGTGGACTGTGATGAGTGGACTATGATGAGCAGAGCGGATTATGATGAGCGGTGCGGATTATGATGAGTGGACTATGATGAGCAGAGCAGATTATGATGAGCGGTGTGGACTGTGATGAGCAGAGCGGATTATGATGAGCGGTGTGGACTGTCATGAGTGGACTATGATGAGCAGAGCAGATTATGATAAGCGGTGTGGACTGTGATGAGTGGACTATGATGAGCAGAGCAGATTATGATGAGCGGTGTGGACTGTGATGAGTGGACTATGATGAGCAGAGCAGATTATGATGAGCGGTGTGGACTGTGATGAGTGGACTATGATGAGCAGAGCGGATTATAATGAGCGGTGCGGATTATGATGAGCAGAGCGGATTATGATGAGCGGTGTGGACTGTGATGAGTGGACTATGATGAGCAGAGCGGATTATGATGAGCGGCGCGGATTATGATGAGTGGACTATGATGAGCAGAGCAGATTATGATGAGCGGTGTGGACTGTGATGAGTGGACTATGATGAGCAGAGCGGATTATGATGAGCGGTGCGGATTATGATGAG